TCCCTCTCTCTCTCTCTCTCTCTCTCTCTCTCTCTCTCTCTCGTGCACGCGCGCGCGCACACACACACACACACACACACACACACACATTGACAGAGACTTCTGCATGACTTGGCTCCTCGTGATCCCCCCCACCACCTCTCCTCATCCACGTCTACTTTTTTAGTTCTATTAAAAGTAGGAGGCAGAAAAATAAAAATTTTGAGTCTTTTATGGCACACACATGCGTGACCGTACACACACACACACACACACACACACACACACACACAACTCTAAAACTAAAGAAATGAATATGTACACACGCACAACCGCGCACACGCAACCCCCCCAACTCCCCCCAAATTTTCCTCCCAATCATTCAATGCCACGCAGCTGTTGGGCAGACTCAAGAAGGTGAGGGGGGAGTTGTTCCTGGAAAAATTATTTTTTAAATTCTTATTTTTCATACAAGTATTTACACACACACACACACACACACACACAACTCTAAAACTAAAGAAATGAATATGTACACACGCACAACCGCGCACACGCAACCCCCCCAACTCCCCCCAAATTTTCCTCCCAATCATTCAATGCCACGCAGCTGTTGGGCAGACTCAAGAAGGTGAGGGGGGAGTTGTTCCTGGAAAAATTATTTTTTAAATTCTTATTTTTCATACAAGTATTCCAAAGTTTTACAAGTATTTCTGCTCAACGTGAAACATTCGTTCTCTCTCTCTTTTTCATATAATCTACTTCTCCTCTCATAACTTTGCTGCTGTGAAGTGGGAATTTCTGCATTGTGAGACTATTAAAGTTGTTTTTATCTTATATATATATATATATATATATAAACACACACACGTATATGTATACTTATGTGTTTTTCTCAAACACAACAAGATAGTCTGTGCTGGAATAAGCGTGTTTCCCATCAGCCTGCTCTCCTCCCCCACAGTGACTAAGTGGAACGTGGTGCAGTGCTCCATAACCGCCACTAGGGGTGCCATCGGCTTACAAATGGAAGCCAACTGGGCATGTGGAAACCACAAGGCAGCCATTTTACAAATTGTATTACTCCAAACCCCCATTTCATGAATCAGTCGTGATGTCACCACCTCTTGTTGTCTTTTCATTGGCTAGTGAACAGCCAGACAGTACTTGATGGAGCACACACTAACACATGCATACATGCACATGCTTCCTCGTCATCTTTCACACCGTAACCTCATAGCATGATGAAACGGTCTCCTCTCAGAATAACTGGATTGTTTGAGATTACAGGTCACCCAGATTAGATCCTCATGTGTGTTGCTGCATGTGCGTCTTCAAAGTGCTCTTGTGTGCAGAAGTGCTCTTAGTAATGACGCAAATTAAACACACACATTCATATACAGTATGTTGTCTGGATTAACTTGTTCATCATTCAGTCAATTTTTTGTCTGTGTCCTGCGATGTTTCTCCATGCGTGATGGTCACTTCCTTTATACGAGCCAAATAATAAATCCTCCCAGCTGTGCGGATACTGTATGTATATAAATATAACTTTGTTTGTGTCTGTGTGTGTCTGTCTTCCTGTTTTGTCATCCAGCTGTCAGTAGGTTATATTCGGGACATAGGCATTAGGGACATTGTGTTGTTTTATTTGTGTCATGATTTCAAGGTACAGTGTATACTACACCATGGAAATGAGAATCACTCTATTGTTCTATGGTGACACATACATGATTGTTGAAGTTTCATGAGGGAAAAATGTCAGTGAATATGTAAGGAAACAAATCACACTGATGTGTGTTCTAACCCAGTGGCCAAAAGATGAGGTTAGGAGCTCATTAGCAGGCCTGGACTGGCAAACTGGAAACAAAGCAGCATTTGACTAGACTCATGATGGGCGTGCCACATGGATGCTATGTTTTGAGCTGTAGAATTCTGAATTTGTTGTCCATGAGATTGTTGCTATATGACAACAACAACAAAAAAATGAATAATAACAAAATGTAAGCAATAATTGACATTCGTTTTATGTAAGAAATGTAAATGTGTAATCTCATATGCATGAAAAAAGAGATTTGGTCAGAGGAAGCAGGAAGAAGAAGAAGCTTAATTGGATAGTGTTATCCATTGGTTTGTTCACCCTCAGCTATTACTAAACCTCACTTTTTTTTTTAATTATTTTGCCAATGGCACAATGCTTTTTTCCTGGAGAACTTGAAGGTGTTTAAACTTAAATAACACCTTGGATAAAATGTATAAACCCTGTGCAATAAGAGGTCTGTATTCTGGTTTGCTGTTGTAAAGTAGCAGTCACTAAATTATGACATAAAAATAGATGTGGGACATTTGTGTCACAGTTGCGTTTAAAACTGTGATTGCTTAAATAATCCCAATTGAAATGGCTGAACCACCAACAGTGACACATACTTTGATGCTGACCTTAAATCAAATTGACCTTGCCTCTGTACAGTTTTGACTTGCAATGTGGACAAATCAAATTGACTTGTTCATCTTTCAGGCCTAATTCTTGTCCACCCCACGCAAAATGACACATCCTTTGTCACACTTGTGAGCTTGTCCGAGTGCATTAACACAAACGTGTTTGTCAAGTGTGACTGTGTCATAAAACATACTGTATCTGCAAGCCTATTGCAAAAGCCCTCCTCGCTAAAAAACGTCCAAGCACATTTAGCAGGCTGTGGAGACTTAGTATCCCTTATTCTTATCTCACACCGTGCTCTCACACACAAATGTCAGTTTCCTGAGTTCAGTGGTGATGGAAAAAGATGAATTTGGGTAGTGTTTGTCTGGAATGAGTTTTGGATGGCTTGTTGAGATGACTCAAACTCAAGTCTATAAGTACAGTTGAGTTGGACATTTGTGTTAGTCACGTACAGTGCTGTGAAAAATATTTGCCCATCTCTTATTTAGAATATTTTTTTTTTTGCATATTTTTCACGCTTAGACATTTCAAATCATCTAACCAATTTTAACAGCTCAGAGGCAGCATAGTAAATTAAAGTTTCTAGATGGTTTTATTTATTAAGGGAAGCAACTATCCAAATTTATTTGGCCCTATATGAAAAAGTAATTTCCCCTCGGAAATTAATATTTTTGCCACTCTTATCAACAATGACTAATATGACGTGCTTGCGATAACTGTTTATGAGTCTTGTATATTGCTGTGGAGGAAGTTTGGCCAAGTCTTTTTTGGGGGGGAAAATAGTTTTTAACTTTTTTTTTAATATGTACTGCATTTTTTGCTTCATACCAAATGATCTCAACTGGACTAAAATCTGGATTTTGACGTAATAACACCAAAACTTTTTTTTTCACTAGTCATAGGTGGACATGCTGTTGTCACAGGCCATTGTCCTGCTGCATAAACCAAGAGCGCTTGAGCTTCAGGGCACAAACTGAAACATTAGAACAATGGCCTTCAGGGGGTTGTGGTAGACAGCAAAATTCATTGATAAAGCAGCAAAACATAACCATGATATCTATTTTTTTGTCAGCATATTCTTTTTATCCAATCCTGTTATTTTCACAGGCACTGTGTTGATATGTGTTCCTTCAGGAGAGATTGTTTTTTAATTAACTTTTAACCAAACTGCAATGTCAGTCCCTTGCTGCATTATGTGGACAAAAATATTTGGACAGCAGGGCCCCTGAGTTTCTCTTCAACCTTATCTCTCCAAACAACATATTTTAGACAGTTCCTCCACTTCATGGGAACACTTTGACTCTTTCTTTTTCCAGCTTGTCATCGGTGTCCAAATATACAAAGAAAATTCCATAAGCTATCCTTGTATGAGTTTTGGTGTGGACGAACTTTAAAACTGTTAACTTCAATGGCATAAAACACCTTTGAGTTGAGCTAGAGCAGAGCCTTGCTCATTTCCCCTGTGATTGTTTGCTTTGCTTTAAACTCTTCATATGAAGATTTGGGGAGAATTTGTGTTTCAAACAAGGTCCTTAAAATGACTTGATCACTGATTTCCCTTCTCTGTCCTCATCCCCAGCCAAAAAGGAACTAGAGGGTGCAGATGAAAAGAAGCAGGCGCAGAAGAAGAAAGTCAAGGAGCTGAAGGTTATTGATTCAAAGTCCTCACAAAACCTGTGTAAGTCTAAACAACAGTTTGTTTCAAGAGGCGCGTGTGCATATGCACTCCACAACCCAACATAATACCAGTGTTTCATCCTTGAACATCTTCCAAGACATAACTATACTAATGTAAATATAATATTAACTTTTTTATGTGTGTGTATACATGCAGCCATTTTTCTCGGATCTTTCCGTCTTCCATATGAAGAAATCAAAAACTGCATCCTGGAAGTTAATGAGAAAGTCCTCACAGAGTCCCTGGTTCAGGTACATATTCCAGTGCGATATCTAAACTTATTTTATGGTTGCATTGATGTGTTAAGACGAACACAATGTGTTTTCCTATTTTAATGAAAAAAACAAATCCACAATTGCCGTTGTAGCTTGTAGCTGTTCCTTTTCTAGCGTATAAAGTAATATGCAGTGTTTGGACACTTCATCAGGCCTGCATAATTGAACGAGAACCAATGCAGGATGAGTTGTATCAACAATTCTAACATTTCAGAATGAATAATACTTTTGACTTTTGAGCGTAATCAGTTTAACAATGCTTATTATTGATATAGTGCTGCTCTCCATCATACCAGAAGTATTTCAAATTATTAAAACAAAAAACGATTTCAAGCGTGTGTGTGTCTGTCTCTTGCTGTATAGAACCTGATCAAGCAGCTGCCTGCACCAGAGCAGCTTAGTGTCCTTGGAGAGATGAAAGATGAATATGACGACTTGGCTGAGGCTGAACAGTTCGGAGTTGTGGTAAGGAGGCATGCAGTTATATATACAGAGCATTGCTGTTTTTAGGGACATGTAAACCACAAGCCACATGCATGTGATGAGACAAAAAAAAAAATATATATATATATATATATATACTGAACTGATTATGAAATAGCACGCTTGTTGTTTTATTAGTCACAGTGATGGTTCAGCTTACAAAACAGACACTGTTTTGTTCAATGATGAAAGATGTTTCTAATGGATGGAGTCCCCCTCGTTCATGCAAATCTCCACACATCCTTCACCCATCTCTTCTCCCAGATCTCAAGTGTGAAGCGGTTGGGGCCACGGCTACAGGCCATCCTGTTTAAGCTACAGTTTGACGAACAGTTGAACAACATTAAACCGGATGTGGTGTCTGTGACAGCTGCCTGTGAGGAGCTCAGGAAAAGTGCTTCCTTCTCTAAGCTGCTACAGATCATCCTTCTTGTTGGCAATTATATGAACGCAGGCTCCCGCAATGGCAAGGCCTTCGGCTTTTCCATATCCTACCTGTGCAAGGTAAAAAAACAAACAAAAAAAAACACTTACAGGAGTGGACAAAAGCCCAACACAAAACTAGATTGCTTCAAAATGTATCGTCTTCTCAGACCATGACTTTTATGCTGTTATTTTTATATGTATTGAAAAGACTGGGAAAAAAAAACGACAATTTACATTCTCAAACTACAAAAGCACGTACATCTTGTAAAGATAGCAATGCAAAACATGCATGAATGAGTTGCTCTTGGGTATTGTATACAAGCGGGATCCGCTTTAGAGGGAAGAAAAGACGTCCTAAATTAGTTTAAGAATTCTTCCTGATAAAGAGAGCATGGCTACTGTGGCTACTGGAAGATGGTGGTTTGATGCATTATTATTATTATTATTGTTTCAATAATCGAATCTGATTAATTTATTACAAACTGCATACACTAGCCGAGTCTATATGGAGCCATGTATTCCAATGAGAATGAATCTGAATGACCAAACAAAATGAAAATGCTCCATTTAAACAACTTCGTCTGAAGAAAAAGTCTAAATCCAAAAGGAATTTCATTCACAGGGGTTGTATCTTGGCGTTGCCAATCTGAGCGTCATGTAAACAGTTAATTTGGAATAACCAAATGGCATCTGGTCTGCACATGCTCTATCTTGATGTTAATGGGTAGTGACATTGTTGTATACACATTTTAAAATGGCAGCAACATATCAGAGGTTGGGAGAACTTTTTTTAAGTCCTTGTAACTTGTTTTTATCAAGATATAAAAAAAATGGTCAAAGAAATCACAATTACTTTGCTTGTCAGACAAATGAATTCCATCTTGACAAATCCCGTCATATTTATTTATATTGGTCTCCACGTGTCACATGGCTGTAACAATACTACAATACATACATCTTTACTTATACTGATATGAATAATATAGTGGAGCATGTCAATGGCAGATCGGAATAGGCCAGGTCACATGTAAACGTGACAAGAGATCTTCATACGGAATGGTTTCAATTGGAATGTCAAAAAAAGTCTCCATCTAAACCCGGCTATATTTCATTTAGAAAAACCGTAACATCATTGGTGATTGTATTGATTTTATCTCCACTTATTTTTATCAGCTTTATTAATGGACAATAAGCAAAATGTTTATCCCATCAGCTTCGTGACACCAAATCAGCTGACCTGAAGCAGACACTGCTCCACTTTCTTGCTGATGTGTGCATGGAGCAGTATCCGGAAGTCATGAGCTTTCCCGATGAGCTCATCCATATTGAGAAGGCCAGCAGAGGTAAAACCTGACGTCAGAGTGATCTGGGTTGTACTCACTTCATTCATCGTTTGAAACAAACAACAAAGTAAAAAGCCATAAGCCTTAAAACATGCACACACACACACACACACACACACACTCAACTCAACTCAACTGTATTTATAGAGCACTTTAAAACAACCATCACTCTATACAAAGTGCTGTACATGGAGCAAATATCATATATACAACAAATTAATCACAAAGACAGCAGAAAGCACCAAACAGGAAGACTAAGAGTCATGCCATGTCAAATGCCATAGAATACAAATGAGTTTTCAAACGAGTTTTAAAGATGGGCAGCGAGGGGGCTTGCCGAATGTACAGTGGGAGGTCATTCCAAAGAGAGGGACCAGCAACGGAAAAGGCTCGACCCCCTCTGAGCCTCCGCTTGGTTCTTGGTACTTCTAATAATGTCATGTAATGTAATGTTATCTTTTTTTCCTCCTAATAGTTTCTGCAGAGACACTTCAGAAGAATGTAGAAATGATGGGTCGTCAGATCAAGAACCTGGAGAAAGACATAGAAACTTTCCCTCCTGCACAAAATGACAAGGACCAATTTGTGGAGAAGATGTCGATATCCTTCTTATCTACAGATCATATTAATTCAGCAGTTTAATTATTCCTTCGGGTGTCATAAAAAGGTTATGGCGAAATATATTGTGTTCCTTAACTTAATGTGTTCACAGTTTTGTGAGCAGTGCTCGTGAACAGTATGAGAAGCTGAATCTGATGCATAAAAATATGGAGAAGCAATATACCGACCTGGGAGACTATTTTGTCTTTGACCCCAGAAAACTTTCAGTGGAGGAGTTCTTTGGGGATCTCAACACCTTTAAGAACATGTTTCAGGTTGTTTTTGTCCATCCAAAATCCTCATTGAGTTCAATGAACAAAGGAAGTTACTTAACCCGTTTATATTGACATCAATTTGAAAGAGAATGACCCATGTATTATTTATGTAACAATTGTGACATATTTGGAAGACATGAATTAAAGTGTTGTTTTCCAAAACAATCTTGTTTTGCTTTAAGACAAATTTAATTCTGATAGTCTGTGATATTGTCGAAACTAAACATGTTCTGTCACATAATCGTTTTTTTCATTCTCCTTCCATCAGCAAGCAGTGAAGGATAATCAGAAGAGGAAGGAGACAGAAGAAAAGATCAAAAGGGCCAAGCTGGCCAGGGAAAAGGCTGAGAGGGAAAAGGAGGAGAAACTCAAAAAGAGGCAGCTCCTGGACATCAACACAGGTTCATGTTTTTCTCTTAAATGTCATATTAGGAGGAAAACAACACTGACTTTTATTGTCATTTCCTCCATACTCCAGTTGGGGGCACTCAGAGTCCACACTTTGGTGGAGTGAGTGAGTGAGTCAGTGTGTGTGCACGCGCGTGTGCGTGCGTGCATGCATGCATGGGGGTGTGTGTGTGTGTGTGTGTGTGTGTGTGTGTGAGAGAGAGAGAGAGAGAGCTTGACTAAGCAATCACAATTTAAAGACCGCAGATAATCTAATGTAGATGACTTGCTTTAAAAAAGTATCAATAAATCTCTTCCGAAAACAAGTACAGAAAGGATACATTATCAAGAAACTACCTAACCTACATGTAACTCTACTGGCAAATAAGAGAGTTGCGTCCACACAAAATTTCCTTCAAATGTTTTCCTAGGTACAAAAAAAATGTAGTGTGCTCTAGTTATATATTTCTCTAGTCATCCCTTTCTACACAGAAAGAATTCTCCTTGGCAGACATTCATGCAGACCCTTTTTCCTCTCTCTAGTTTCAGTACATTCCTTCTCTGTGGCTTCTTTTTGACATCTCCTAGGATGTAGTCTAAAGTTTCATCTTGCTTCTCCTCACTCTTGTTTGTTTAATCAGGCTTTCTCCTTTCTCTCTGCCTTTGTCTGCCTATCATTTAAATCAGCATTAAAAGTACAGTCTCCCTAGAGACTCCGCATGTAATATGTCGTCTGTGCGTTCGACACATGGAGCTACGGTTTTGATGATGAAAGCAAGAGTATTCGTTTGCATTGTGCCTCTAGAGCAGGGGTGTCCAAACTTTTTTGGGTGAGGGCCAAATACAGAAAAATAAGCAAAGGCTCGGACCACCCGTCGTTGTGCCTTTTAGGCTCATCATATCAAGCAACTCCTCCGTACAGCAAATATTTTCATCGACTCCCCACCAAAAAATTAATAGCTGTGCAGTGTCTGTGGCGTCTGTGCTCTCATCGCATGCTATCGAGTAAAAATCAAAAGCACATGCTTTGTCTCTCAGCTGAAGTTTCAGGTTAGCTGACAAGTCCTCGATTCTCCACACCACTGTATTTCTGGATAAGATCACGTTGAAATCCTGCACTTTTTCTGGGCACATTACTTCCTTGACTTTGATGAGGCACTGCTTTATGAAATCACCATCTGAGAACGGTTTGTCATGCTGGGCAATAAGTTGAGCGACTTCATAGCTTGCTGCTGTGGCATTTTCCTGTATTTTGTTAGCACGAAAAAAAACTGTTGTTTTCATAGTGCCGACGGACATTGTACTCACGGCAACATCTTCATCACAAATCAAACAGACACATTTTCCATTGATTTCTTTGAAGAAATATTCATTCTCCCACCATGTTTGAAATCTTCTGCACTCACTTGCTATCTTTCGTTTCTTCGGTGCTGCCATTTCTGGTGACTCGTAGCAAATGTTTTTCTTTGCTTAATTTTGTTTAGTGGAGAAGCACCTTTTCGGTTTCTCGCTCCATCTAGTGTTGAAACTGAGAGGTTCAACAGAGTTGAGCTCAAGCGCCATGTGCGGGTCATATTCAACTATATTTTCAGAATTTGCTGCGGGCCAATAAAAACAAGCCCACGGGCCGCAGTTGGCCCGTGGGCCGTAGTGTGGACACCACTGCTCTAGAGGCATGTGAGTGGAAAATAATAGAACTTCAAAAATGTGTGTGTGTATGAGGGTTGGAGGTGATTTACATACAGGTGGCATATTTGATTGCCTCGGGTCACTTCAACCCCCTATTTGAATTCAACCACACACAAATACACAGACACACCAGCTCTTTGTGCTGTATTTGTTTATAACCCTCAAACTGGATGTCTATGACACAATGGTTGCTTTCAGCAAAGGCACATTCACATGTTCACCTCTTCCTTGTTTCCTTCTTTTTTTCTTTCTGTCCCTCTAGTCTGCTATTGTAGTCTTATCTCACAAAATCACAAAATGTTCTTCTTTGCATGCCATCTCTGTCTGCATAGCACCTCAGTTGTTGATTAATCCCTCGAAGGTCAGGCAGCGAGTTTGGGTTTGCTGTGGCACTGTGACAATGCCCCCCCCCCTTTTCTTTTTTGTCTAACTATTTCAGACCTCTGTAAATTATATTTACTCGAATGTTGATGCAATAAAAAAAAAAAACAGAACAAAAATTATAATTATGTAAGGTTGTATTCGTGCCAGTGAGAGTCTGACATGAACCTTCAGCATGCTCTGAAAAAAACACTCTGGTCTCATCCCAAATACTAGGACATGGGATGTACTTGATTCCTGCAACTAGGTGCCGGTAGAGTCTACAAAAGATACTGCATGGCTTTGAAAGAAAGGGGTGTGTGCATCTGTGACATACACACCCACTCAGATGCTGGTATGGGAACCACCGCTGGGAGTGCTCACGCTCCACGCAAGTGCTTGTGTGACCACGATGGGGGATGGGATGGTGGCTTCATTGCAGCAGCTGCTCTGTTGAGTCTTACACACACACACACGCACGAACGCGCATTTCTCTTGATGGAAAGGTTAAGAGGAGAGGAGAGGTTAAAAGGAGAGTATAGGAGGAAGTCACGGGGTCAGAGAGAGAGGGACTTTGGACTGAAGGAAATGGCAATCACTCCACAATTTCTCTGTACTATTCAGCATGTCTCACATTTTCCAACATCCACCAGGGGTGATCTTGCTCCACACAAGATTCTTGATTTATGTGTGTGCTGATTGTGTTTGTGTCAATCAATTGGATCCAGAGAGCCATCTTTTAGAGCACTGTGGTCTAATGCTATTACACAAATTAATCTGTCTTATGTTCTTAGTGGCCTCAAGCAGGACCTTGCAAACAACACTTGTGCACGTGTAGACATGTGACAAGCTTATACTGTACTGAGTTTCGGCATGACTTTTTATAACCTCTCTTCTACATGTTGACTTAACTCTTACATTTGCAACTGTATTAACTGGATGGCACACAGAATACAAGTAAATTAATCGAGTGCATGTGTATCATCATGTGCTGGGATAATTAGGCCTGTTGTTGACCTTCGACAAAGCAAATAAAAGCCTCCAAGCTGTGAAAGAGGGATGTCTTGCTCAAGGCCAGACAGCGCCTAAACAACTGTGATTACACTGCCATGCTTGCAATGGTGGTTTAAAGCAACTATGTGGTTAGTGTAAGCATATTCAGTGTCGATTGTGCTTCCCTCAGTGAAGAAAAACATGGCCTACATCACCATAAAGCATTAGTGTAGTGACCAGCTATCAGCACAAAGCGGTGTATGTGAGCCATTGAAAGGAAACGTGTAAGCTGCAAGCCATCTGCCACATGGCTTATTACAAGACGTGTGTGTGTGTGTGTGTGTGTGTGTGTGTGTGCGTGCGTGCGTGCGTGCGTGCGTGCGTACACAACTGAGAACTGAGGGGGTTGACGGGTGGCCACATAAACCTTTAACCCCACTCCCTTCTTTTCCAGACTCCTCTCGTCCTATTCAGAAATAATTAAAACCATCTGCCTGGCTGCAGAGCTGTACTGCTAAATCGTCCCACTTACACACACACACACACACACACACACACACACATACTTCTACACAGTTGTGGATCCATCAAAAACACATACTCAAATACAGCCTGATTGAGAACCTCCAAATAAATGATTTATCCAAATGTCATAAATACAATTGTAAACTGCACCTAGGATTACTTTCCTGCCAATACCTCATCAACTGTAGGCAACAGTCATTCTTTTCCCGGTGTTAAGATGTTCTTTAGTTGAGAGAGAGAGAGCTTTCTTCTCTCTGCAAAATCTAGCATGAAGCTGCAGTGACAGCACAGCAGCTCATCTAGGTCAGTGCTTATCTGGGTTAATGTGGCAAATCTTCCAACATGGCCACTTGGCTGGAAAACAAACACCCTCCAGCCCACATGGATCTGGGAAAATCATTGATAGGTAGTTAGTATGGCAAAATCCTCAAAATTAGAATGTATTTGTGCACTGTGTTGATTATAAATGCCAATGTGGAAAAATGTATTTCCTCCTTAATTGTTTGTTGCTACATGGCTCATGTTAATATTGATGTGCTTTCAGAGGGTGATGAAACCGGCATCATGGATGGACTCTTGGAGGCGCTGCAGTCTGGCGCTGCTTTCAGGAGAAAGAGAGGACCCCGGCAAGCAGGTGCACTGAACAACTCTACATATTCATTTCTTTAGTTTTAGAGGTGTGTGTGTGTGTGTGTGTGTGTGTGTGTGTGTGTGTGTGTGTGTGTGTGTGTGTGTGTGTGTGTGTGCATCCTATAACCTATAACAACATCCTAGGAGCTCCAGGCCTCGCTGGCCTCAGTTGTGGTTTACGACTCTACCATAAGAAAGACACTGGCCAAAAACGGCATCCATGAGTGAGTTCCCAAGCAAAAACCACTGTTGTCTAAAAAGAACGCAAAGGCTCGTCTCACATTTGCCAAAAGACCACCCATTTGTACGCTTCTGCAGCAGAAGGCTGTTAAAATCATGTTAGATTTGTCATTCACAGTCAGTACGAGTTGGTAGATAAGGCGACTATTTTGACTCACAATAGTTTCGCCAAACCAGTGGAATCCTTAGCAACATTTCAGCAGAACGTCACTAAACCTATCCACGACCATTAGCTAGTAGTGTCACTGTGTGGATTCAGTCTTTCTGGGTCAATAATCACCGACACACGTGCATTCTACACAACCTCGGCCTATGATAACAATGCCAATATCAATGGAATGCCTGTGCTTTGCTGTGCAGTCAAATGTTCAGTCTTTCATACCGGACCTCATCATTCCAATAATTGATCATCAGAATTCCTGATGTGTGTGTACAAGTTGTGTATGTACAGGTCCTGGACATTGGGTACCTGCATGCTTAGCTGTATCTCTCCCCAATATTGGGTGTCCACTGTATTCCACATGATGTCTCTTGAGCCATTGTTGTTCAGTCTGTAAGCCCAACATAATCGAGTTTAACTTTGCGGCAAGCTTTGAAATGTGAGTTTGTGAAGTGTCCATTGTTGAAAGAAGCTCAAGTAGATCTGTGTGCCTGCGCAAGCATTCACACACAAGGGTATGCGTGTCTGCAACCCTATCCCACCGTCAATAGAAGCCAGATGTGAAGCGGTGCCTCAGAGTTGGAGGGTAGACTGCATTCTTTCTCCCTTCTTGTTGTGTGCCTTTTGCAAAGTGAAAAGCAAAAGCAAAACACATTCTGCATCAACATTACTGCAGTTGTTGTCAAGTGTTTCTCTCTGGTCTACAGTTAGAATTTGGCGAAGTTATTCTACTTTAATCAATTGCAACAAACCTTACAGAAACAACAAAACTGAGAAACAGAGGGAGTAGAGTGGCTAGGTTTATAGTCTGTCCCCCAGAATACTGTTTTGCTGTGTCACTCCTCGCAGGAAAAAGCAGAACATGCGTGAGAGAAGATGCGTGCGTTGCTGTGTTAGAAAGGAGAAGAAAACTATGTCGATAAAGATCACATATCATATTAAACCCCCCCTATCCCCTTTCTTGCTCTGACTGTGAAATCATTTTAACCACTGGTCAGTAATTTTCATGCTCATATGGGGGCGGTGTTGTGTGTCAGCTTTGTCCAAAATATGTAGCTACTATTTTACAACAACTTGCAACTCCTCCTCATCTTGCAGACTTTGTGGGAGGGTCTGTTCACCATAAAGAGCAGGCTTTTCCTTTTAGGATTTGGCGGTGTGTGAGTCAGAGCACTTAATTTAGCAAAACTTTTAGAGGAGGTTCATTCAGTCTTTGGCTCAACTGATATGTATGGCGCACCACTGGAGCCACAGACTTCCTCCATCACTAACTAGACTTATAAAGCTCCGTTCTATGCTTATAAGCGTGGATATTACTTTTCGGTGTTTGCCCTATTGTGCACAAAGAAAATATTGTCCATTTTCTACATACACAGTACAGACAACAATATTGAGACACAAGACGGTAAGAACTGTTAAGATGGAAGAACAGTTTCTTCTCTTCTGTGTATGTTTGTACCAACATTATAGAATGTGTGCAATTTGACTTGATGTTGAGCAACAAGGTTTTCCTAACAGGGTCCACTGAGCTCTAAGGAAAAGAAGTTAGTCTGAAACCCTGTCATCGGGTTAGAACAAGTCTTTGGAAAAAAAAAAGAAATCTGCTGCTGTTGTTTATTTTTTTAAAGTCCTAAGCATACCCCTCTTACTCATATCCCTGTTTCCTCCACTGTTGTGCACACCACAACAAATCTCACCTACGTGAGTTCAAAAGACAGACGCGAGCGACTATTGAGTGTGTTGCCAACCTCATTGTGTCCCTGCATTGTGACTGAATGTGAAGCCACGAGGCTCCGCAAGCTATGTCTTCACCTTTGACCTGTACCCTAACTCACTGTGGGGTTTTGTGCTCCTTGTATAGAATGAGTGGGCAGCCTCGGGTACTCCCAGCTGTCTGACCCCCTCCCTCTTCCCACTACTCAAACACAAGCAAACAAAACAGATGCAGCAGATGACTACATGCCAACACAAAGCCACACGTGGGTGTTTGAATACCAAGACGCCTTCCGCATTACATTGCACAGAGCAGATACCGTTGCATGCTTTTTTTTTTCCAAACTCTCACAATCTTCTTCTAGTTGTTACTTTATCGGTTCATGTCATGTCAATACAGACCTACAACCTGATATTTAATGCAATATATTAGCATTTTGTATGTGGAGGAATGCGTTGAATCACTCACCACCAAGCCATCTGCTCAGTCATGACCCCTCATCCAATCAGTGCCGCCACAAAGTTGACAAAGCCCCAATCACAATAATGGTAGCACAGATGATGTGGATGGCAACAATGGAGGCACACGCTGGCTCCACACACCGTCTGCTCCTTTACAAAAGTCACACTCCTTCACAGATGTTCACACAGGGGGACACAAACACAAAGGAAACAATTGAGTTCATTTTTAACGGCCTTCATTGATCACCTCATTGTTGAAGCAGACATGACATCACGCACACTTTTAGCACCCACTCAGACAATTAGTGCAGTAACTCAAATGAAGTGGGTATAAAAATACGTTTTGTTTTGTTTTTTTGTATGACATTAAAAACATGTGACAAAGGCAAATTGTTTTAAAACCTTTCCGACCATAACTGTTCTGTAACGTGTACAAGGCTTTAAATACGCGTTTTTTTTTTTTTCTTTGAGGAGCAGTTTTGCTAATTGCTGATTTCAATTGAGGAGCAATCGTGAGGAAATCAAGAACTGAATGGCACTGAATTTCTACGAATTTTAGAATTAAAAGAAAACTTAAATTACAGTGTTAGGTCCCATTGTGCATCCCATGCTTTTGTGCTGCGTTCATGGCTGATTTGCTTTTCAGTGTTTTTGTATGAGGCGTAAAATGTGAATTTTGAGGGGAGACTTGTGATGTGAGTTATGGAAATATGAACCGTTCGACGTAAAAATGAGTTTTAGCACAAAACTGAAGGCTCCTGTTGGGAAAGCTAGAGGCCCTTCAAAAAACGGCGCGTGTGGGCTGACTCCAATTTATGATGAGTATGAATGTGGTTGGTTCAATCTGAACATAGCACCCATCTCCAGTTATGACAGGGTTTGCACACTTTTGCAGTTTGCAGTTGTTTATTTTTACATTCCCCCTCTGGAAAAGAAAAGACATTTATTTGTTAGAGGTTGTAGGGCCCGTTCATGGTGGAAAAAGTTTTGGAACGATTTATCTTGGTCTAATTATTTGGATATATCATAAAAGCCTGGCATTTGAACAGGCCTGTGTGGACTTTTAAGCGCATGCATGTACTAGCAATTACCATTGCTTGATGATGTCACTTTTGAAGCCGGTTCTTCCACAGTGGAGCCAGAGGAGGGTGCTACAGGTCCCTGCTAAACTGAACATGTCAATGGACAGTAGATGCTGTGCTAAAATCCGACTCTGGCTTTTCCATGGTTGCAGCTCGAGTACACAAAAACCTTACAGATGTATGCTTGATACGTGACCCCGCTTTGGTAATCTGAGGTATTTACCCTCTAAATCTTGCCGTGGCTTACACTTCACACCTCATCATCGCTGTGTGTTCTCTATATCTTGTTCAATTAAGCAGTCTTTCCCTCACCATGCAGTCTGCTCGAGTACTGTATAATGTGTTACAGAGGCTCTTTTCCCTTCAGGTCTTGGTGCCCCCCAAAGAGCACATTCAGTGTTCAAACGAACCCATATAGTGCCACACCAGACACATAAACTAATCTTTTGATCTGAGTCTCGACATCCCATTTCGCTCTTGCTGTGCAACCAGGCATCATGCCAAGCCCCTGCATCATTTAGTCAAAGTAACAGCTACTTTGCTGCGAAGGACATGCTGAGGACATCTTCTGTTTGTAGTGCCATGTGTTAAAATATTACCAAAATAATTTAGTCCTTAACTTTTTCCACCCGAGCCCACAAGAGACATCATGTTGTACAGGCGCAGTTCTCATGCTTAATATGCTCGGACATTTGCTCGAGTATAAAATCACACCTAGCATTCTTTGAGTTGTTTGTGAGTGGTGTTTGGTCAAGTAAGTGATCTTCAATTTATCTTCTGTCCTTTACCACATGTCCAACACTGATTACTGATTGCGCATCACTCAAAAATGGTGTTCTGAACTGTGGACATGGCTTGCAGGAATTATTGAAACTGAACAATAGAATACAAACATGTAGGGCTGAACAAATTTATGTGAAATTGTAATGCCTTGAGATATATATATATGGGGCGGGGGTCCCGGAGGTCGAGTGGTTAGCGTGGTTAGCGTGACAACCTCACAGTGCAGAGGTCATGGGTTTGATCCCGGCTCCGGCCTGCCTGTGTGGAGTTTGCATGTTTTCCCCGGGTCTGCGTGGGTTTTCTCGGGGTACTCCGGTTTCCTCCCATTCATGGCAGGTTGATTGAATACTCTAAATTGTCCCTTGGTGTGAGTGTGAGCACAGGTGGTTGTTTGTCTATGTGTGCCCTGCGATTGGCTGGCCCCCAAACTAGATGAGTGGTTGCAACAGATCCCGGGAACAACATCGGACATCTCAGTCCAGAAATGTGCAGTGCTGGGAACAGCAAGGATACTGCGCAGAACCCTCAAGCTTCCTGGCCTCTGGTTGAGGACCCGAGCTGAATGAGGGACGGACACCACCCGAGGGGTGAGACGTATATATATATATATATACACACATACATACATACAAGTATGGTCAAAATACATATACAAAAAAATATATATACAAGTATGGACTGGAAACCCCAAGGTCAAAATGGGAAACACCTCCGAAGGTGGTGGAGAATGACAGAGCGAAGATCCTGTGGGACTTCTTCCAGATCCAGACTGACAAGATGGTAATGGCGAACCAACCAGATATCGTGATCATAGATAAAGGGCAGAGGAAAGCCGTTGTAGTGGATGTAGCGGTCCCAAGTGATGGAAACATCAGAAAGAAGGAACACGAGAAACTCGAGAAAAGTGATGGACTCAGAGAGGAGCTGGAGAGAGCCTGGAAGGTAAAGGTGACAGTCGTGCCTGTGGTGGTCGGAGCACTCGGGGCAGTGACCCCCAAACTAGATGAGTGGTTGCAACAGATCCCGGGAACAACATCGGACATCTCAGTCCAGAAATGTGCAGTGCTGGGAACAGCAAGGATACTGCGCAGAACCCTCAAGCTTCCTGGCCTCTGGTAGAGGACCCGAGCTGAATGAGGGATGGACACCACCCGAGGGGTGAGACGAGGATTTTTTTTTTTTTTATATATATACACATACACACACACATGCAAGCAGTCTGTCATTATTCATCTCGATTCCATAGAGCCCTCTGTTCCTGAGGTGTATCCACATCCTCCGTCTGTTCCCATCATCTTTCATGTGGGAGATAAAGAGGAGAGCAGAGTTTTTCCTCTCCCACTGGATTTTCTCGTCACCGACATACACATGAAGCACCAGACACACTGAGAGATAATGTCTCTATTTTGGGTCATGTAGACATGAAATAGAATGCTTGCTGAAATGTGTTGCTGTGAGATTATTCGCATTAATAAAATGATCTGTTCAAAAAAAAATGTGCAGGAGGAAACACAGCTGTATGATCCCCACATTGTAGATTTGCATTTTTAAACACCTCACGATCCTCCTCTTTCCTTCCCAGACTCAATAGTGTCTTTGTCACAGCTCGTTCTGGAGACATGATCGGTAACCGTGTTTTGTTATTCAACCCCCATTTAGTAAGAACCATGAGTTGTGTTTTGGGTTGACTTTTGTGTTCCCATGGTTCATTTTGCATGTGTGGTTTGCATCGTCACAACACTGACACGAAAGCACTTCAGTGCAATCTCCCCCTGACCTATTTAATTCAAAATGGCTGCTGCTGCCCAAAGTAGGCGAAGAGACAACAGCTTTTCTTCATGGTACTCGTATCCGGACCCCCCCCCCCCAAACATCTGTCAGCTTTTTGACTTAATTCTGTCATCCAAGTTAGCAAGTTAATCAAAAACAAGACCAAAGAATATTTAATGTTATTACCATTAATGCTGTGCTTGAAAGTAGAAAATAAAATTGTCAACGACAAATTAAAATTATTTGATGGGAAATGTAACGCTCACATTTTTATACAAAATGTAGGAAAATAAAAGTTTCAAAACAAACTGTTCTTTGAGATGAAATATCAAATTAGTACTAACGAGTGAAATACATTCAAGGAAACTGTACTTCTGCAGTGTTTCTTATGTGTACCACAGCACTAAAGGTGTGTCGTTATGTGAATGTAGCAACACACTAGCATGTGCGTGTGTGCGTGTAGCTCAAACCTCAACGTGTGGTGCAATTAAACTGTTTTAATAGCTTGCAGTGATGAAAATGCCCCAACACAGTACCCCCCCCCCCACCACCACCACCGTCGCCGCCCTTCGTGCCTGCATCGCCTTGTTTATGAGTTCAACAATATCTCTCGAAGCCTGCGCATTTGCTGATGTCACTCGCTCACGTTGTGTTTGCTGCTCTTTCTCAGCCAACCACAGAAGAGCTGGTCATGCAGTGACCAACATCCTGGCCAAAGAACTGATGCAGGAAGACGCACCATCAAGCATGGCGTCCATGAAGAAGATCAAATTGGATGAGAAGGATGAGCACAAGATCGAAGCTGGAGATTCGTTAGAGGAGCTACTGGAAGCTGCGCCTACTTGCTCCAGTTAGACCATTTGCTCAGATATTTTGCGGTTTTTTTTTTTTTTGTTTTGTATAAAACGTCTGAGCAGATTTGTTTCTCGTTGTTGCAGCCAATATTGATCTAAAATTTAAGTTAAGCATCATTCCACACTTTGGAATCTTCTTAGATGAAATATGTCCCTCATTCAACCAATGACTTTTTGCCACTTGTAACTGTTTTTTGATTTTTTTTTTTTTTTTTGGCTAACATACACAACTGTTCCGAGTCCATATGCACTGTCTGCTTCTTTACCACAGCTTTTAATCACTTAATTCATTGCATGATCATATGAAAGATCATCTCAGAAGAGGGATTCACTGGTATTTCCCAAATTTTCTCACATAACTCAGGCACATAAAAGATGCTACAAACGGTTAGTTTTGGATGCGCTATGAATTGTCCACATTTTTTTTTTGGGCCGCTGTATTCTTGTTTGATATATTGTACATTGCTGTTTGGAAATGCTGATGATTCCACTGTGTTGCTGGAGAAAAGTGCCAATGAGTAGGAGTCCGGTCCTGTCATTTCATTCACAGTCTCAGTAGCAGCGCTCACATTGGGTGGATGCTTTTGTTAGTGGTGTACACGTATCTGTGTGAGATTTTTTTTTTTTCCTCATTTGTACAAGGGATGACACCCCAAAACAAAGAAAGCCAGCACAGTAAAATGACAAACATTCCTTTCAGTTTGCTTGCTGTGTCATTAGAGAACATTATTGCACAGAGTAAGCAGATCCCAAATGTCTTTGCCTGAGCCACATTTGTTTGGAAACACCCTTTCCAAAAGCAGTTTACATATGCCTGTGTGCTTTTATGACTGTGTAATGTGAGTCATCTATTTTTAGTTCCTGCTTATGTGCATGTCTGTGTGCGTGTGTTTTCTGTAATTATGGTATCCACCAGTCTCATAAATTCTAGGTTTCATAAGCAACTTTGTGGTACCTGCGGAGGTCACGCACCAAAAGAGCTGGACAAAAATGCACACGTGTCTATGTGTGTAGCGGTGCGGGTTTGAAAACAAGGCGGACGTCATATATGTTGGGTTTGATTCACTTTGTGGGGCCAAAATGGAACTGAATGAAACGATGGACGGACTCCAAACCCAGCACCTACCCACCCACTCACTTCGAGCCATCAGCAAATATGCAATGTCTGTCCTATTCCTATGCAAACAAATACTGTCATGTGTCCTTTGGCCATTTTCTGCTAAAACCTGCAATTAACTGGGCAGACTGATATGAACTTGTTGATTCAACATCTCAATCCCTCACAAGTGACACCTTGTTTGCAATAGGTGACATGGCCAAATGGGGATGAAAACGGTGTCGTTCAGGGAGGAAATCCTTGCTGTGGTCACCTGCAGAGAGAGGTTTTTGTTATTTGCACATTTTTCATGATAACCACACGCTGGATCTCGTTGAATCACAAAAACCTGCTGTAACTGTTGTTCGATCAAAGATGTTACACACACACACACACACACACGCGCACACACGTGTGTGTGTGTGTGTGTGTGTGTGTGTGGGTGTGTGTGTGTGTGCGTGTGTGTGTGTGTGCTAGATACTGGAATGTGGCTTTTTCATCATTGAGAGGGAGATACAAAATAAAAAGGAAAGCATCACTGGAATATGTTTTGTTTTTCTAATTTGTCCTTTTTTCTTCTTTTGCAGATATTTTCTATGTTGATTTTTGCAGTTGATTTTTTTTTTTAATCTTATGAAATGCATGTGCTTTGCTCATCTTTTTTCCAGCGATTGCTTTATGTATTCAGAACAATGCACACATTTAATATTTCTGTTTGTTATGCAGAGTAATTAAAATGTCTGGGTAATTCCCAAGTTTTTTGTCATTCTTTGCTGATGTGAACATGTTCAATTATGGTCAGTATTTTAAATTGTCTTCAGGGTGTGTGCGTCACTGAAGTGTATAACTTCTGGTCAATTCCAACTAAATTCCACTTAATCTGTGAAGGGTTTTCAGCGAGACGGCTTCATTTTTTGCTCCGTCTCCTCCTTAGCCTCCCATTTGAACACTTTTGAGGGAAAATGGCAGAAAGTTATTGCACTCTGTAAAGCCATCGTTTTATTGCCAGAAGACAGCAGAGGAATGTATAAACAGTGGAAACTACTTACTTTAACAGATGCATTCCAGGGCTCACTGCAGCTCCAAAGATTCAAAAGGGTTTTTTTTTTCCAGCATGAATTCTCACTCACTCTATGACATGTAACATGATATGTGTTTGTATTATCCCCTTCGTGCTAACATTTCTTCACTTATGCCAATTACTTGCCTTTTTGTGCTTCCAGTTTGTGAAATGCCCTTTTCTATACCAGCAAAGGCGTGCTTGGTGTGGAAGAATCAGACTGCAACCTCATCACACATTTTGCACAGATGCAAAATCTTGCCAAAACATTTCCCATCATAATGTTACTTGCTGGCGGCCCGGTGGTCGACTGGTTAGCACAGCGGCCTGAAAGTGCAGAGGTGCAGGGTTCGATTCCGGCGCCGGCCTTCCTGTGTGGAATTTGCTCCTTCTCCCTTTGGCTGCATGGGTTTTCCACATTCCCAAAAATGCATGGCAGGCTAATGGAACATTCCAAATTTTCCCTAGATGTGAATGTGAGCATGGATGTTTGTTCATTTATATGTGCCCTGCAATTGGCTGGCAACCATTTCAGGGTGTACCCCACCGACTGCCTGAAGACAGCTGGGATCGGATAAGCGAATTGTAAAATGGATGGATGTTACTTGCAGTATAGTTGCCTCCTATTTTTTTTTCCATTGTTTACATATTGCTGTGGTTGCCAGGTGTCCCCATGTTTTAGTCCTTATCTGTGATATAATAGTACAGGGATGGTATGACTCACACAAGTCAGCCAGTCATCTCCTCCAAGGACTCCGCCAGCCTTCTCCCTGTCTGGGAATATGACAGAAATTCCATGTTGTGTCACTGCAGTACCGCACAAGAATGCCAGGAAAAGCATCTAGAAACTCTTCCTAACCTCAATGTCAATTGAGGTGAGAATGACTCTCTAACCTTGTACTTGCATAAGAGGAAGACTAGTCCATGTGGGGTTTTTTTGCAGGAAAAAAGTTTTAGTTGGACCTTGAAATAAAGTTCAGTGTTTCTCCAATTTGGCAAAAGTAAAGGCTTGACATTTTGTATGACCACTGTTAAAGCTTCAAAAAAAATTGCTGAAACCCCTTTTTTCAGACTGAGGGAGCAAGAGTTTATATTTCGGTACTTGCCAATTCCTGGTACAGATAGAGTACCCTCCAAAAGTATTCGAAGTATTCTTTGGAGCTCTCAGCATTTTTCTGTCATCAACTGCTATTGCTACCCTTGACCAACCTGTTGGATGACTGATGCTCAATACACCAGTCGGCTGTTGTTGTGTTCAGGACATTCTCAATTATTGTCTTAACTATGCCCAATGGTTGTGCAATAGCTCTGATTGGTTTTCCCTCTTCTCTTAAGCTTCAAAATGGCTTACTTTTCTCCCAGGGTCAGCTCTCTGGTCTTCATGTTTGCTTCACAACAAATGCAGTTTTCACAGATGAAACCCAAAGGCAAAAACAAGCAATATCTAATGTTGAAAAAAAAAAACACCTGAACAATGAGAAACACCCGTCAGTCACATGTTGCAATATTTCTTGTGGCTTCAAACAAAGGGTGTTCTGTCCAGAGTTATCCAACACATCTCCGATGTAAATACCATGAAGTAAAAGCTGGAATAATGAACTTTTGATGCACATTCATCCTTTGATCTGAAACCCTAATGTCTTAAGTACACAAAAAAAAAAAAAACAACAACAACAAAGGCCTTGACCTTGTCCGTCCTAGATATTTGGAGGCACACTGTACTTGATAATGCCATTACATCTTGTAATTGTAATGAAAAATTGTGAATCCAGTGTACTGTATCGTGAGGAAACGTGTGTGTGTTTCTATGCATGTGTGTGTCTGACCTTGTCATCTGGAAGGGAGGTCTGAACAAAGAAAGAGGGCAGCATTATGTGCCCGACTACACAATGACACGGCAATTGATAGCAGAGGCAGCCGACCAATGGAGACACAGGATGCTGTTTTTCTCAGCCTCTGATTGGCTGGCCTGGCCAGGCCGTCGGTCTCCAGGTAGCAAAGTGAACCTCCGAAGGAGAAGAGGATGGAGGGAGGGCGGAAGAGGAGACTTGTCCTCAGCTGTGGATAAATGAAAATGATCAATCCACACACAAGTTGGATGTTTTGGCCCTTATGTTTGTTTCAAACTAATGTTTGTGCACACATCTTTATTGCATTGGTGCTTCCAGCAGCGCTCTGAAATAAAAGGCTCCATTTTAGCTTTAACTTGGCTGGATATGCCTGGACTGCTTTCTCTCGCCTTTTCTCTTTCAGACAAGTTTGGATGCAAGCCTGCCCTCATTATGTTCACATTGGCCACTTTTCAACTTTCCAGCACTCCCAGGGAAGAACACAATTCTTGACAAAAGAGGTCTGGATACTGCCAGCATTTTGTTAATGATGTAACATGTGACTAAATGACTTCATTTGCTTCCAAGCCGGTGAATGCAGTCACACACCTGCCCCCTGGTCATCATATCTTCATGTTGCGCCCTTGATCAAATGACATGGCTGCTTGTATGACAACCTGTGTGTGACACCCTATTAGGAGACAATTAGCACGGGCCACCAAAGTGTCAACCGATTGGCCGTGCCATCATTCTAATAAATGACGTCTCCATCACCCCAGCCATGCTAACTGAAACTCTGTTTACCGCTCGAAGTACTGTATATTAGTAATGGGACAAGCCCGCACTTGACGCCAATCTATGGGTCCCATCCTTGAGACCCCCCCCCCAGCTGAAACTGCTGCCTTAGACAAGGTGGGGTGAGTGATGAACATTTTGAATTAGCAGAGCAAAAAATAAATAAATAAAAATCCACCAGGTTTCTTCGAGAAAGCAAGAAATGGACAAGGAAAATAACTGATTAGGAGAGCTGAACTTCATTTGGGGGTTAATCAGAGGCATTTTAAATGGTGGCAGGGGGATGTGATTGGTTAATTTTGAGCATAGCCACATTCTAATTAGAAGAGGTTGTTGATAGTTGTCAGAATGTCTCATCTCTTGTTTATTTCTACTTTACTCTTCAAAAAGATTTTTTTCAATTGAGTTGTACGAGTTATAAACCACGTTAATGTCAAAACAGTTGTCAAATTATTCATCTTGGTCTCATTTTTGGGTTATCCTTGCCATTACTATTTGAATTTCACCAGGGGTGTGAGGAGTTGTTGTAGCCACTCCGTGTATAGCTGTCTGGGTCCTCACACTGTTGCTATGCTGCTTTCAGATTCAGAACACAGATTATTAAAAAAAAAAAAAAAAAAAAAGACTTGGGCTTTCTTTTTTCTTGGGGGCACCCCCCATTCACTCCTCAGGCAGTAATAGCTGTCTGGCACTGATCATGAAGGTCTCAGACCCTGACCCACTTCATGACATCGAAATTTATGTACAATCAATTTTGAGGTCTTGTTTTTTGAAGTTTGATTGTGTGTCTGGACCCTCCCTGCTGCCCCCTATCTGTCCGTCTCCTCAGACTGATGGCCTCGCTGCGG